CATATACACACACACACACACACACATGAATCACTGTGCTGTACACCAGAAATTAACACAACATTGTAAAGCAACTATATTTCAATAAAAAAAAAAGATTCACAAAAAACCCAATACATTAAAAGGATCATATGTCATGATCAAGTGCAATTTATCCCAGGGATGCAAGGATAGTTTAATATCCATAAATCAATCAGTATAATATACCACACTAGTAAAGTGAAAGATAAAAATCACATGATCCCAAAAGATGCAGAAAAAGCATTTGAAAAAAAATTAACATTCACTTATAATAAAAACTCTCAACATTCATTCATATAATAAAAAGAGAACATACATGCATATAAGAGAAGCCATATATGATAAAACCATAGATAAAATCATACCCAAGGGTGAAAATTTAAAAGCTTTCCCTCCAAGATCAGGAACAAGAATGCCCACTCTTGCCACTTCTATTTAGCATAGTATTAGAAGTCCTAGCTACAGCAATCAGATAAGAGAGAAAAACAAAAGGCAACCAAATTGGAAGGGAAGAAGTTAAGCTGTCACTATGTGCACATGACATGATATCATATATAGAAAACCCTAAAATTTCCACATACACCAAAAAAACTGTTAGAACTAATTTAAAAATTTAGTAAATTTGCTGGATACAAAATCAGTGCACAAAAATCAGTTGTGTTTCTGTACACTAATAATGAACTATCAGAAAGAGAAATTAGAACAATCTCACTTATAATCAAATTTTTAAAAATACCTAGGAATAAATCTAACCAAGTAAGTGAAAGATCTGTACTCTAAAAATAAGACACTGATAAAAGAAATTGAAAATAATACAAATAATGGGAAAATACCCTGTGTTCATGGACTGGAAAGTTAACATTGTTAAAATGTCCATACTACTCAAAGCAATCTACAGATTTAATGCAACCCCTATCAAAATACCCATGGCATATTTCACAGAACAAGAACAAATAATTCTAAAATTGTGTGGAAACACAAAAGACCCCAAATAGCCAAAACAATCTTGAGAGAGAACAAAACTGGAGTTACCATGCTCCCAGACTTCAAACTATATTATAAAGCTATAGTAATCAAAACAGTATGGTACCAGCACAGAATCAGACACATAGATCAATGGAACAGGATAGAGCACTCAGAAATAAACGCCTACACATACGGTCAGTTAATCTCTGACAAAGGAGACAAAAATATACAATGGGGAAAGGGTAGTCTCTTCAATAAGTGGTGCTGGGAAAACTGGACAGCTACATATTAAAAAAAACTAGAATAACTTCTTATACCATATACAAAAATAAACTCAAAATGGGTTAAAGATTTAAATTTAAGAGCTGAAATCATAAAATTCATGGAGGGACACATAGATAGCATGCTCTTTGATATCAGTCTTAATATTTTTTTGGCTCAGTCTCCTCAGGCAAGGGCAACAGAAGCAAAAATAAACAAATGGGACCTAATCAAATTTTAAAGCTTTTACACAGGGAGGGAATCCATCAATAAAACTAAAAGGCGACATACTGAATGGGAGAAGCTATTTGCAAGTAATATACCTGATAAGGGTTTAATATCCAAAACATATAAAGAACTTACACAATTCAAAATAAAAAAAAAAAGCCCCAAACAACCTGATTTAAAAATGGGCAGAAGACTTACATAGACATTCTTCCAAAGAAGACATACAGATGGCCAACAGGCACATGAAAAGATGCTCCACATCACTAATCATCAGGGAAGTGCAAATTTAAAACACAATGAGATATCACTTCACACCTGTCAGAAATACTGTTATCAAAAAGACAACAAATAACAAGTGTTGGTGGGGAAGTGGAGAAAGGGGAACCCTTGTGCCCTGTTAGTGAGAATGTAAATTGGTGCAGCCACTATGGAAAACATGATGGATGTTGCCCCCAAAATTAAAAACAGAACTACCATAATGATGCAGAAATTCCACTCCTGGGTGTTTATCTGAAGAGAACAAAAACACTAATTCAAAAAGATATATGTACCCCAATGTTCATAGCTCATAGCACCATTATTTACAATAGCCAAGATCTGGAGGCAACCATATGTGTCCACCGACAGATGAATGGATAAATGTGAGTTACACATACACACAATGGAATATTACTCAGCTATAAAAAGGAATGAAATCTTGCTGTTTGTGACAACATGGATGGACTTGTAAGGGTATGATGATTAGTGAAATAAGCAGACAGAGAATGGCAAATACTATATGGTTTCAGTTATACGTGGAATTTAAAAAACAAAAACAAATATATATAATGAAACAGAAACAGGCTCACAAACACCGAGTACAAATCAGTGGTTACCAGATGGGAGAGGGATAGGAGAGGAGCAAAATGGGTAAAGGAGGTTAAGAGATACCAACTTTACCAGTTATAAAATAAATGAGTCACAGAGATGTAATGCATATCACAAGGAATATAGTCAACATTTCATAATAACTTTGTATGGTATGCAATCTATAACAGTATCTTACCACTGTGTTTTATACCTGAAACTAATTTAACATTGTAAGTCAACTATATTTCAATAATCTTTTGTATATGTATATTTTTATTGAAGTATAGTTGGTTTACAATGTTGTGTCAGTTTCTGGTGTACAGCATAATGCTTCAGTCATGCATGAACATATATATATTCGTTTTCATATTCTTTTTCACCATAAGTTACTACAAGATACTGAATATACTTTCCTGAGCTATATAGTATGAACTTGTTTACCTAATATTTCAGTAAATTTAAACATTAGAAAAAAGAAACTCAAGGGAAGGGAAGGCCAAAAAGGATAGCTAATCTCCACTTTCCCCATATAATGATTCACAGAAAATTTTTGCTTTGCTTCTAATGAAATAAAAACCAATAATTTTCCTCAGAATTGGATAAATGGTGTCAAACCAATTTTTCCCCCTTAAACTTTTCTTAAACAGTAGGTTATAGATATAGAGATAGATCAAGGTTTGGGTCTGTTCAAGTAAATGAGAGGAAGAGTGTTAAAAACTGCCCATGCTATGATAGAGGTGTTTATAAAGATTAATGAGCTAATACTACTTAAGGAGACTGAACGTAAAGAGACTAAACAGAAGCAATACTAAGTTTTGTTAGTTGAACAATTGTCAAGAATCAGAGGTTGTGACCTGCTAGTAGACAAGCATCCTTTCCTTCTCTGATCATTGAAAGTGCTATGCAGGTCAAAAATCCTGTGTAGAGGATGAGCCATAGAGAAATACAGTAATGTTCATGGATATATTTGCTACTTTCCATTTCATAAATGTTTTCCTTCAACTCATAAACACATTGCAAGAATTACTTCCATTTTATCAACGAGGAACCAATGTTCAGAAGTAAAGATGATTGCTTGAGGTAATACAGCCAGTAATATCAGACCTGGGACTCCAGTCTCAGTCTCCTAACCACGGCAAATGCACTTCCTTTCCTTTGTGTTCCTTTCTTTCCCTGCAGATCAACCCCCATTCCCTCCTGACCTCTGCCGGCACATGGAACACAGAAAGCCCTCCGGAGCCTACCTTTCATTGTCCATCTCCCTGTCCATGTTTGCTTCAGTAGTCTATTTTCAATATCACACTGATAAGATGAATTTGACCCAGTAATCTTTACTGTTAATATGAAAAGGATCCAAAGACTCAATTTCTTCCTCACTGCCTTCGGAGATAGGTGCATTATCCACTTCCCATGTGATAATTGGATGGGGATAAACACTTAACACACTGCATATTAAGAAGCTGTTTGTGTTCTTCTTTTCATACTTCATCACAGGTGTGGAAAAAGCTATGGGGGAGAAAGAAGGGCATATGAGGAACTGTCATTAGCTTCTTTTTAGGCCATCTGTGCAGAACACTTATTATTTTAGTACCCATGAAATGAAAAGCCAAGCTTTGTGAGCAAAACTTGGCAGATTCAGAAAGGAAAATCAAAACAAAAACTCTGTAGAACCTCAAAATATAGTGCAGTTCTCTACAAGGAAAAAAAGAGCACGCCTGGGTACACAGCAACTAGCAAGTTCAGTTCTCTAGAAAGAATTCTAGAGAAAAATCTAACGGCCTCACTGAGCAACCAAAATGCGGCATCGAAGTCAATAAACTAGAGCTCGTGCAGCACTCTGTACTCTTCACGTACTGACTCAGAGCCGTTTGGACTCTTTGTTTACACATAATTCTTAGATTTCTGAATCGAGGTCTAAAGCAGCTAAATGGAACAGAGGGAGAAGGAACAAATGCTGGATAAAACAATGCATTAGAAAATGCCCCTTCCCCTCAGTAAGTAAATGAACAGATAAATAAAGTTAATACAGACAGGAGGAAAGCATGTAATTGTAAAATTAATTCCACTTAGAAAATAGAAAAATGTCACTTAAATCAATAATTCAGTATTTTAAGTTTTTATACTGGCAGAAATTCTTTTTTTTAAGTTTCTCTTTTAAATTTTTTATTTTTATTTTTTAAACTTTGTGGGAGAGGCAATTAGGTCTATTTATTTTTAAATTTTTTTTTTAATGGAAGTACTGGGGATTGAACCCAGGACTTTGCGCATGCTAAGCATGTACTCTACCACTGAGCAATACTCTCCCCCAACAGAAATTCTTGAGATTGGTAATATTAGGTGCTGATAAGACTGAAGGGGAAAATTCTACACCACGGACAGAAGTAACATATTAAAATCTTATTACTGGTACTTTTTATTTCAGATCATTTCCCAGTCTTAAATATAAGGATGTTCATCACAACGTTCTTTTTGTCATGGAAAATACTGCAAATACCTGAATACCTACCAGTGAAGGAATGGGAGTATCGATTACAGCGTGTCTATACTATGAGCACCGTGTTTTCAAATAATGAGGTAGACCTGTGCATATTGACTTGGAAGGAAGTCCAAAGCATATTAAATTAAAAAGAAGGCATTTCAGAAAACATGGAATGAAATGATATTGTCCTATTTTATGCAAACTTACATGCACACTTACCTCCCACTTGTAGTACAACTTTGTTTGTGATTTTTCCAGATGATGTTCCCACATAGCATGTGTAAGTTCCTTCATCCTGAAGGCTTAATCTTTGGAAAGATAGGGAGGCATTCCCTTTGTGAATTTCACCATGGAAGAGGGATGTCCTGTTTACGTATCTGAGATTTTGCTTTTCCAACTGGTCACTGTCTTTGTAGTATGAGTAAACGTAGTCATCTTGATTCTTCCAGTGAATTACAACGTTGAGCCCACTCTCAAATGAGCAAGGGAGAATTACATCTTCATCAAGTCTTCCAATGACTTTGTTCGCTTCTAGTACTGCTAGCATAACTGAAGGAAGCTAGAAAGAATGCATCTAAAAACAAGAGCAGTTACGAATAGAATTAGTGATGGGTGCTTATCAAGGGTTCTATCAGGATTACTTAGAACTATTCCAGGTCAGCAGCCTGACCATTAACAGATCACATCATCCATCAAGAACCCTTGCTGGTCTAATTACTAGAAACAAGTCATGAAGCTCTGTGTTTGAGTTTTCGTAATTTTAATTGAATATCTGTTTGATTCAATGTAACTATGAGAATTGACAACAGCCTAAAGCATAGAAACACTAGCTTGCTCTGTAGTTGATCAATGGTCTCATCTCTCCTCTGATCCTGGCCTGCTACAGTTGCTGGAAATTATGTATATTGTATAAATTAAAGATACCTGTTGGCTTTTATTCCCTGAATAGATTTACTTTTAACATCTACTACAACAATAGCAAATTAGTTTATCCAGCTAGCAAGACCCAGCAGGCCCTAAAAGAATGAAACAAACTTCACTTGGTTGGTTTAGGAAATATTCGGAGCATGTAGAAGACAACGCTGCCTTGAGGAATGTGTTGGGCATGGGCAGACATTAGTCTCAAAAAGGGAGTACATGGGCAGGAGGAGTCCAAGAGGGGAAATGAAGTAACTAACTTATTTTGGCTTTAAGACAGCTCTCATGATATCCTATGAGTCAATCAAAATATAGTTAAAGAATATCCTGGATATAAATGTAGAGATCCAATTTACCTAATATATATTTATATATAAGTATCTATTAAAAAGCAAACAGATTCATCACAATTAAGGTTTTTGTAAAGAAAATATACTTCCCCATTTCATAATCATTGAAGGCAGTATCCAGCTTCTCTGACCAATTCACATTTTAAGTAGATCACGTGCCCTGTCTGTGGATTCTATGATATTAGCAGTGGAAACGACCTTATCTTAGGGACAGTGGAGTAAACTCCTTTGGACCTTGGCCAATGCTACCCAAGATGGGAGAACTGGGTGCTTATGTGGCCCTGTCACAAAATCTTTTTCCTCTGCCTCCTCCTCTGGGGCTCTTTCTACTCTGCCATGTGCCACGCCTCTCCCTCAGAGAGATTTGGTTTATTTCTGTACAAAGGGCTAGAGGAATATGGTATTATGCTGAGAGAAAGACATGGAAAGATGGGAAGGAAAAGGAGTGGTTTTGTTGACCTCTCCAGTTGCTCTACTAAACACTTTACTTCATCAGATAATTAAAAATGCCTGTCATAGGACCTATAATGCCTTCTGTAAGTGTCAAGAAAGTACCAGGTTTCCACTTAAAAAAAATTAACCAAACTTGCCTTTCTAGTGAGTTTATATCTGGTGGCAGATAACAGATGAGAAAGAGTCTTAATCAGAGTAGACAAAAGAAAACATGATTTTCAATCTGCATGCAAACTTCCAGTCTGCTTACTGTTTCGAATTAATTGATCTCATCTCTCAGAAAAATTGATACAGCTATGACCACAAAGGAAACAGCCACTTTGTATTGTGTGTTCATGTTCCCAGCTAATGATACAGACAACTAACACTTGGGTGTGTCATAAAGGAACTTACCCTGAGATCCACATAGAGATGGTGTAAGAATGAAGAAGAAAAACAACACTGCCTTGCCTTCATGTCTTGTGGAGGTCATATTAGTTATACTATTAAAGAGAAGCAAAATATGCAAGTTACAGATTTTAAATGCAAACAGGAATTGGAAAAGAAAGAATTAATGCATCTGACTATAGAAGATTCATTAAATGAACTACAGTACATCCACACAAATAATTCTGCGACTATTAAAGATGACATTGTAAAAGACAGTTCAGTGGCATGGAAGAAAGTTCTGAATATAACAGGAGAAAAATCAGATTACAATGCAACTTTTAAACAACATTGTCCCTTTGTAAAAGCACACACATTTCTGCAAATAGGAGATTGACATGACATATCACAAAATGTACACTAGGATGTTAACTCTGAAGAGCAGGCCTCACATTTAAAGCAGTGCCTGCCGTATAATAGGTACTGAAAAATTATCGTTGCATAAAGATTTTGGAATATGTTTAATAGTGGTTCTCTGGATAATAGCTTTTGTCTGTTAATTTAAAGCTTTCCACAGTGGACATGTATTGCTTTTACAGGAACTATACAAAAACAAATTCAATTAAATATTAAATGCTAATGATTTTAACCATGGTGTTATTTATAATTACACATAAAAAACAAATAAGAAAAACCTGAAAACATATTCCTTAATGTCTAATAATAGTACAAATCACAAGGCAGCCATTAAAATCATTTACAGAGTGTTTCAAAAACTAAAAAAAGTAAGAAAATATATAGATGGTAAAATGCATACGCACAATATATACTCAAGTAAGTAAAATAGAACTATTTTCTCTGGAGATGGGATTATACACATTTTTTCTCTAAAAAAAGTAGCTTGAAAAAGAATAGCATATAATTAGTTTTAAAAACTTCTAGAAGAAAATTTTAAAGAAATCACTTGGGAATTCTATTACAAGGTTGTACCCTAAATATGTTGTAGGATGTAAGATTTAAGAATGATTAAAACTATTCTAAAAAATAAAAATTGATTCCCTCATTATATCTTACCAAAATAAAACCTGATAGATCAATAATTTATAGTTTCATTTTAAATACTTGAAGAAAATAATGGAATAGACAGCCTTGGAAGACAGCCTTTTTAATATGATTATACTTTTCTATTACAGATATGTCTATATAAAAATTGGAAAAGCAACAAAAACATATTAAAAGTCAAACAAATATGGAAAATATTTGCCATATGACAAACTGTCACTCTCATAGCTTCTCTCTTTCTCAGAGCAACAGCTAAAATGTTTGGCAAGTGACCAAGATGGTGGCATAGGAGGACCCTGAGCTCACCTCCTCCCATGGGCACATCAAAGTGATATTTACAGAGCAACTATTGATGACAAAGACTTGCAGACTAGCAGAGAAGATCTACAACTAAAGATATAAAGAAGAAACCACAAAGAGGTGGGTAGGACGGTCATGACCCACACCCCCAGGTGGGCAACCCCCAAATAGGAGGATGATTACAACTGCACAGGTTCTCCCCAGGGAGTGAGGTGTCTGAGCCCCACATCAGCCTCCCCAGCCAAGGGCTCTACATGGAGAAGACGAGCCCCCACAACATTCGGCTCTGAAGGCCAGCAGGGCTTACACTGGAGAGAGCCAGAGGGCTGTTGGAAATAGACTCCATTCTAAAAGGGCACAAAATCTCACACACGCTGGGACCCAGGGCAGAAGCAGTAGTTTGAGAGGAGCTTGGGCCAGACCTACCTGCTGATCTTGAGGAGCTTCCTGCAGAGGCAGGAGGCAACTGGAGATCACACCCTGGGGACACAGATGCTGGTGGCAGCCATTTCTGGGAGCTTATTCTACTGTGAGGACACTGGTGCAGGCAAAGGCCATTTTGGAATCAGCACCAGGACCTGCCCCCCTCCAGCAGCCTGTCAGCACCAGTACTGGGACACCTCAGCTCCACCTACCAGCAGGCCTTCTGCCATAAGACCTCCTGAGGCCCTAGCTGCCCCAGGACACGGTCCTGTCCAACACAGAATGCAGAACATATCCCCACCCAACAGTACACTAACACTAGCCCTGGGACCCCTGGGTCCCCAAAACCGGCCATTGGGAACTGGCCTTACCCACCAGAGGGCCAATGCCAGCACCAGGACACCTGGGCCCTATAGTCAGAGACCCTGGGACCTGACTTGGCTCACCAGTAAATCAACATTAGCCCTGGCATCCCCTAGGCCCTGACCCCACTGACCAGCATGTGGACACCAGTGACAGGACCACTGCAGCCCCATAGCCTGCCATGTTAGAATTCAATCCACAAACCAGCAGGACAGCATCAGCTCTGGAACCCCTTGGGCCTCCTAGCCAGAGACCCCAGGACCTGGCTCTACCCACCAGCAGACCAGCACTAACCCAAGATACCCTGGGCCCAGGCCCTGCCCACTGGCAGGAAGATACCTGCTCTGAATCCCCTTGTACCCCAGTCATGCCCAACAGCAGGCAGACATCAGCTGTAAGACACCATAGACCACCCCAGCCAATTGCCCCAGGGTCCAGCTGCACTCAGCAGCATGCCAGCACTAGCTTTAGGACACCACAGAACCCATATCCAGCAGTGTCAGGAACAATCTGAAGAATAGAAGCTATATGATCATCTCAACAGATGCAAAAAAAGCTTTTGACAAAATTCAACATCCATTTATGATAGAAACTCTCCAGAAAGTGGGCAAAGAGGAAATATACCTCAACATAATAAAGGCCATAGATGACAAGCCCACAGCTAACAACACACTCAACAGTGCAAAGCTGAAAGCACTTCCTCTAAGATCAGGAAGAAGACAAGGATGCCCACTTTCACCGCTTTTATTTAACAAAGTACTGGCAGTCCTCGCCACAGCAGTCAGACAAGGAAAAAAAGGAATCCAAACTGGAAAGGAAGAAGTAAAACTCACTGCTGATGATCTGATACTATACAGAGAAGTCCTAAAGATGCAGCCAAAAACTATGAGAGCTCATCAATCAACTCAGTAAAGTTGCAGGATACAAAATTATTATACAGAAATCTGTTTCATTTCTATATACTAAAAAGGAACTATCAAAAAGAGAAGTTAAGGAAACAATCTCATTTAAAATGGCATCCAAAGTAATAAAATGCCTAGGAATAAACCTACCTAATGAGGTAAAAGACCTGTACTTAGAAAGCTAGAAGACACTGATTAAAGAAATTGAAGATGACATAAACAGATGGAAAAAATATACCATGTTCATGTACTGGAAGAATTAACATTGTTAAAATGACCATACTACTCAAGGCAATCCACAGATTCAATGCAACCTCTATCAATATACCAAGGGTAATTTTCACAGGACTAGAACACATAATTTTCAAATTTGTATGGAAACACAAATACCCAAAACACTCTTGAGAAAGAAGAACAGAGC